CTAGAAGATCCATACCCCCACCACCATAACTTGAACACACCATCATCACTGAGGACAGCGATCGTGTACGTGCCACTACTTTTGTTGCATCCGACGTCAAGTTGCATTGGTACAAGGAGATATATATCTATCTCAGAAGGCAAGCTAGCCATGGCGGCGATGATCACCGGCGCGCGGGCGCTCACGGTGGCCGCCCTCCTCTGCGCCGCCGCGGCTGCGGCCGCCGCGCAGCAGGCATCCAACGTGCGGGCGACGTACCACCTGTACAACCCGGCGGAGAACGGGTGGGACCTGAACCGCGTCACCGCCTACTGCGCCACCTGGGACGCCGACAAGCCAGCGTCGTGGCGGCAGCAGTACGGCTGGACCGCCTTCTGCGGCCCCTCGGGACCTACGGGCCAGGCCGCCTGCGGCAAGTGTATCCGGGTAAGAAGATAGATGCTGCTGATTCTTCAGCGCCTGTGGGCTGTGAGCTGTGAGCATACGTCGGGTACAAGCAGTTTTTAGTAAATTAAAAGGTTGACGGCGAGCATGCATGTACGCAGGTGACGAACCGCGGGACGGGTGCGTCGACGACGGCGAGGATAGTGGACCAGTGCAGCAACGGCGGCCTCGACCTCGACTTCGAGACGGTGTTCAAGAAGATCGACACCGACGGCCGCGGCTACCAGATGGGCCACCTCGACGTCGACTACCAGTTTGTAGGCTGCTGAGATATATCAAGGGCACCATGATGATGAACCATGCGTGCGCAGCCGGTGGAGGAGCGTATCAGAGAGGTGTGGTGTTGTGGAATAAGATGCATGGAAGGTCAGAAGCCTGCAGCTGCGGATGCAGACCACTGTAACCAATGTAGTATAGTACAAAATAAATGAAACTACACCATAAATAAAGTATGTTTTTTATATTTCTTATATCTCGTGTTGAATTTAATACATAAAAATACATAACAGATTCTTCAACTCAAGCGGGAAATTAACAACCATGTTTTTAATTTGTTTATTTATCGCAGAACTGGAAACTTCTGGACAATTGTTGACGCTGATTAGGTCACATTAGTAAGAAGCTACATCGCTCGATGCAGGCAAGCCAAAGATCAGCCTAGCTGACTTTTAGATCAGTCCTTGTCTAACAGCATGCATGTTTGCGCTCGAACACTCACCCGCTGCCTCTAGCGATAAGCGGCTTAGACACAAAATATTGACCTATTGTCGTGCAAAAAATCCTATGGCAAGCCATGCTTGCAATCATGAGCAGTGTTTTGATCCTTTTTTATTAGATAGTTACCATAGATGGTTTGGGTTATGTTTTGTCCTCATGTTAAAGTTATTTATAATCACCTGTGACCTCTATGCATAACCTAGCAATTTAGGTTTAATAAATAAAACATGATCAACTAAAAATGCTTAGAGCATCTCCACAAATCTCTTATACTCTCCCTTATGTATATCCTTTAAATAGGAAATGTAATAGCTACAGCGGATCTCCTATACATATGTTCTTTAAAATATCTCCTAAATCCACCACCGTCTCTCTAAAAAAAGGGAGACCTTTCCCTATCTTAAATCAGGATGAGGCTTTAGCAATCTGCTGGAGCAAAGGTCTCTCATATCTTAACAATACTTTTGAAAGATCTCCTATATAACTGGTTATAGGGGTGAAGAAATATGAGATCTGATGGAAAGGCTCTTACCACACGATAGCCGAGTCAAGCCTTTTGATGTTATATTTGTTGAGTATGGTGCGCTCATACTTGCTATAAATGAACAAATTCTGGATGGGTACCAGATGGTGGTTAAGCGATGAGTTACCTGAGATGTTCCAGGAGTACTAGGTGGTGCTCCCCTAATCAATTGTCCCCGTGGAGTGCAGAGTTCTGAAGAGAAGATTAAGAATAGCTTTGTTATAGATGTAATTAAGTTAATATAAATATACTTAACAATACAAAATATAGCATTGTTTGTAATATTTTTCACTATATATGTCATGTGGACATCCTAGTCATACATATACTTAGTGTTTTGTCTTCTTCCAAAAACCAGGTGCGACAGAATTGCTCAAACTTGTCACACCTTTCTTTCGGATCATCCTCCCATAGTTTCTCCCAGGTGGATCCCGCTCTCCTCCAGAGATAGATTATGACATGCGCCTTGTCACGGTGGTTTCTCCTCACCACCTAGACACTGAGCATATGCAGCACCATTTATTTATTAACTAGTGGAGGGGCGCGCGCCATCGCGCCCAGATGCAGTCACAATTTCGAGGTAAACAGAACAGTAACATGGACATAGTTGACTGAAGCATAATTATACAGCTATTGTACATGGATTTATTCCTGGAACGTGTCCAAGGGGTTTTGAGTGTATGAACAAGCAAGGACCTAGTTTGCTAGGTGGAAGAGTAGAGTAGCTATACAGAGCCATTACAGGATATTGAGCAGTTCGCATCCTGTGAAAAATGTTACTGGTATTCTTAGCGTGGACTAAATTAGATGCCTTATTTATCAGAACTATTTGGCTTCAAGGATCTTAGAAAACATATTTAGAGGAGTGTAAATTTTGGGGGAACGAAATGCTATTTTAGAAATAGCAGGTGATACCCTAGTAGCCTGGATACTGTAGAGTGCACAAGCGCAAGAGCAATCATCCAAGTCCACATAAGCATTACCGGTTACAGCTAACTAACCATAGTTGTAGGTGCATCAGCCTGAATATTATACAACCAACAGGCTTCGACAACGGCGTCTTCAATATTTCTACAGTTTTTTTTTTAATTCGTGGCTGATCTTGGGGGTCTAATGCAGCTCCCTGCGCAGAAGAATGAAGCTGGTACTTTGTTCGCGGGAGGAGCCTGTGTTAACATAAACTGAGTTATTAACGGAACAAATAACAATATTTCAGTGGACTGATAGTCTCTGGGATGAGTGTACTGCCGAAAATAGTGTGATGCTGTATATATATTATATTAATTATGTTGACCAAGGAAGAAAGTAGGAAACGAAGTAGTAAACATTTTTTGGGTGCAGAGCTGGTGTACAAACAAAGGATTTACTGAAGATGGTCTATGGTCTGTGTTGTACATTGACTAATACTGTAAAAAAAAAGGGCGTACCCAGTGCAGAGAGCTCCCGCTCTGTGCGGGGTCTGGGGAAGGGTGTTAGTGGCAAGCCTTACCCTCGCTTGTGTAATGCGAGGAGACCGCGACTCGAACCCGGGACCTTCCGGTCACAGGCGGTAAGAGTCTACCGCTTGCACCAGGCCCGCCCTTCACATTGACTAATACTGTAAGTTAGGAAAATAAATACATTGTATGATAATATGCAGAAGCAGTGTATGCCACAATCATAATATGCAGAACCATGGTATTTTTTCTCTCTATTAGCATAGGAAAACTAAATCAATGTCGCAAGGGTTGCTTCAATGTCCATTAATCGGTTTCAGTCCACAAAGATGGTGCAATCAGAGTATGTCGAAGAGAACTATGAGATAGATCACTTAAGTAACTGACCCTTTTAGAGTAATCTAAAAGGAGCACAACACATAACGATTCTCTAAATTGCACTGTTAAATCCTAGGACAGTTATTGGTGCTCAGAATCCTGAAGTATGTTCCACAGCAACTGCACTGTCTATACATCCACCAAATCAAATCATACTGGAGTTCAGTTCAATGTGTATAGCATCCAAACTGCACTGTCTATACATCCACCAAATCAAATCATACTGGAGTTCAGTTCAATGTGTATAGCATCCAAATTCACTTAGGTGGTATATCCTTTGTGGTGGGCAAACAGATCCAAATGGTTGCAGTTTTTTTTTTCAATAGAAATAGTATAAGAAATACTATATTTATAATAGAAGTCAAGTAAAATAAAGCGAACATAATACCCTGAATTACTATGGCTGTGCGAACTGCATCCCTAAATGATATTGTTACATATTCTTAGATCATTGGATTCGATAGTAAAGTCATGAGTGTGATAGGTGAGTCATATAGTGTTTACCTATTCTGTGACATCTAGCTTAAGATTCCTTGTGGGAACTGCCCTTTGGTTGATGCTTTTGATGCTTGGAGGAAACAGATCTAGGCCTGTGATTTATGTTTACATGTATGTGTGCAGGTACATTTGCCTGAATGGATTTAAGCACTGTTACCTGGAAATACAACTTTTACCTCTTTGATGGAGGCTCCTGTAGTGCACCACCTGGGTTATTGTTACCACCTGGTACTATGTGTCCTACGTTCGAACTGTTATCATCCATAATTTCCTACAAAGTAAAATAGCGAAAATTTGTAAGGATCAGATGCACTGAAGGATATAATAATTGTGATCTAGTAATCTATGAGTCATGGATTACCGGTGCATGAATCGGTAGATTCAGTCAACTTTACCTTTGACAACGAAAGGGCACAACATATTTGTTTACCTGGGCACAACAACGTGGCAGGGCTACAATGCCGCAAGGACGTCACTGCATTCACCGGCCGGCACAGCAGGTAAGTCTACAGGACAACTGACGCCAAGGCCAAACGCTGGGGGAAAAAAATTAACTGAAACAGAAACGAAATTAGGAGCACTGAATATGTAATTATCAATGAGGAATTAAGACCACATGGCCCCTAATTTGTGGCCAAACCGGTGTGATCCCAGACCTGGAACAGCGAGCGAAGTTCGAACACAAATAGAACGAAGAGGAATCACCAGCCGGGGCAAGCACAGACTAATGACGACGCGGAGCTAGGACCGCGAAACCTGAAGGCAGCACGAATGGACAGATATGAAACGAAAGGAAACCAAAATATCAGATCCAGAGCACAGAACATGGAAAAAATCAGAGGACCATGAGCTGCAAAAATGTGGGGAGACCACTGTGCTAAACTACAAATCAAAGACACACAGGATCCATAAGCTCTGGGGAAACGGGAACCACCGTGGTCTAGCACAGCAGTACGCACCTTGGTAATAACCCTAGATGAGCGCAGGCAGCGTCGTATTCCGCGATGTGCGAACGAAATGGGGAGGCGGCAAAGTCAGCCCCCCGCACGGTTAACAGCTTGGACGACGCTGGGAGGATACGAGACGGAAGCGCGAGCTGGACACAGAACCGGCGAGCTCGGCGACGGCGAGAAGAGGCAGGCGGCGGCGGTGTGGAATCGGATCAGGACGGAAGCAGGGGGAGGCAGCGCCCCCGCACGGCTCACAACTTGGACCGCGCTAGGAGGGCGGCAAACGGGAACCTGAGCTGGGTACAGAACCGGCGAAGTCGGCGAGGGCGAGCAGAGGCAGGCGGCGGCGGTGACGAATTGGATGAGGACGGAAGCATCGAGGAGAATGGGGAAGAGGCCGCAGAAGCTGAAATCCCAGGTATATATATGCGGGGCCTTTCTTACCGTAGAGAAGCCAGAATTACAGGCTGCGGACAAAGGGAAGCGGCCAAGAGCCAGGCTAATTGCCACAGTAAAATCGGAAGCCAATATAAGCAGGATCTTGCGACAGGAGCCTGAACCGTGAGATTGGGAGATCCAACGAACAAAAAAAAATTGGCCAACGTGGACACGGCTTCTATCTTAGGAGCTAATGGGTTTCGTGGGGTTAAATGTGTGCGCGTCGGTTCGAATATCAACGCGCACACAGTTTCAACACACACTGTTTCTTCTTCCAACTCCGCACACGATTTCTTCTCTCGTCTTATTCGTTATTCCTCATAACTTTTCTTCCCCTTAGCTAACCTGTCCCCGCCAGGCTCAACCGTCACCTACTCCCTCCGTCCGGTTAAGATTGTCGCTCGGGAAGCGGGATTGTGAGGGGGGCACGGTTTTCCAACGACAAACTCAATGGGACGGAGGGAGTAGGCCACACAGACAACCTCCCTGCCTAGCTCCCCAAGTGATTGTCGAGTAGCCCCACCCTCCACTAATCACTGTTAAATTTGGTCTTTGGTGGGTGGCTTGCCAACCCCTCGTATGAACAGATATTTTTTTAAGTCGAGAATAATATTTTTTCACACAACCAAATTAAAGTAGTGATTTCTTCATGAACCAAAGAACGATCTGAACCAAACAACCGAACAGGCTGAAATTTATCTGTTCCTCCTTTCCTATCTTCCCTTTCTTACTATGCTACCACACCACTGCCACCTCAACCGCTGCCTCCTTTCCTATTTGAGAGAATTATGTATTTGACACTAAAATAAATCAGTCTTCCGCATTTGGCATTAGAAATTTTAAACTTTCTTATTTGGCATCAAGTTGAATTTTTTTCTCTAGATAGCACTGTCGTCCATTTGGGCTAGTAACGGCGTCAAGTGGCTGGTAAAATAACATGAATACCCTTCTTTGTAGCAGAAATACATGATGTCAAATAGGGAAATAATAAATGGACAGGTTGTCAAATAAGAAAATTATAAATATCACAAATATATTGTGAAGTAAAACATGGGATTTTGATAATTGAAGTATGCAAATAAATAAATAATAAATTTCAAATTCTAAGGCAAGAGCAGGTCCCGCTGGGGTAGGCTTAGCAAGGGAGGGATTTGCCCTGTCTAGTTAGCTTGGTCAGAAATTGTTTGATGCAGTTTAGCAGCTCGCTCATCTCAGTTTGGTCAGTCCTATATTCTTGTCAGATCATCGCAAGATATGAAGACAACAACAAATAGATATTTCTCCACAAATCCTTAGAATAGTACAGGTTTGAGCATCTGGTGTCACAGCTAGCCAATCATCTAGAGTTCTCCACAATTGAACATCAGAAGTATACATGTACTCATATTTCTCGCTCAATCACCGAAACTACGAATTACTCCCTCTGTCCCTAAATGTTTGTTGTCACGATTTACGTGCCGATAACCTTGACTCGATTTATAGAAAATACATATAATATTTTTATCTTCAAATATATTTATTAAAAAACTAAATTTAAATATCTATCCAATGATACTAATTATGTACGTATCATTCACGATCTATTTTGGGTTTAGGTCTCCGGTGATTCATTGGAGACAGTCTCATAGCAACTTGCCGGAGCAGATCGAGAGAGGCACTGCCTCTGCCGGTGGGAGACGTGCGCCACCGGCGGCCGTGGAGGTGCCGCCAACACCAACTCACGTGGGGGATGGCAGTCTATCCGCATACGAACCTCAAGCGATTCATCCGCCGTCACGTGCTCCCCAGGATCTGATCGGAAAGCACACCTCTGGGGAATCAAACATCGAAATCACACACATTGAAACATATAAATATAAACCATTATAAGAAAAAAAACATAGAAACATGGAATCAAGCATACAACCGGCAGCCGTCCTTACAGTCAGCAGCCTAGAGGCGGCCGTCGAGGCACACGCTTGGGCTCCGCCAGCCGGTGACCATGTTGTCCATGGTCTGCTCACGTTAGGAGACGATGGGCTATTCGAATCAGAGGAACCGTGCTTGAGGGGGAAGGCGACTCCCAGATCGGACGGAGTCACGTCGACTAGGAGGATGCGCTGACGGAGCCGTAGAGATGAGCTCGATTCCAAGGCAGAGGGCGACGAGGAGGCCGCAGGCCATGGCGTGGATGCGAGCAGGGCCGGTGCCAACGTCGAAGCTGCTGCTGCCCTTGACGCAGAGCAGCCTCGCCGGTGGGGGAAGGGGCAACCCACTAATACAAAGACGGGCTTTACTCCCGGTGGGGAACTCCTCTAGTCCCGGTTCCTCACCCGGGAGCAAGCATCCGGGACTAAAGGACCTCCCTTTAGTCTCGGGACCTTTAGTCCCGGTGGGTAACACCAACCGGGACTAAAGGTCTTCCCAGCTTTAAAAAAATAATGCCTCCCACTGCTGCGTCCCGTGATATTCGAACGCAAGACCTCATGCATTGCCTCGCGCGTTGCTTATCACCCCACCTACACAACACATCTAACAATGAATGTGACGCTTCCCTTTTGAACTAACCCATCGGGAGACCTTTAGTCCACCTTTACTCCCGGTTGGAGCCACCAACCGGGACTAAAAGTCCTCCAACCTTTAGTCCAGGTTGGTGTCTCCAACCGGGACTAAAGGTCCCCTGCCACTGTGCCAAGCGCAGTAGCCGTTGGGCAGGGACCTTTAGTCCCGGTTGGAGACGCCAACCGGGACTAAAGGTCTCTCTAGTCCCGGGCGTAAAAAATATCGGGACTAGAGCCCATTTTGACCTCGGATGAAAGGTCTATTCTCTACTAGTGACCGCTGCTGCTGCTTGTGGTGGGGGAAGGGGTCGCCGTCGCCGCTGTTGGTGGTGGGGGAAGGGGCCGCCGCCGCCGCTGGTGGGGGAAGAGGGCTGCTGGCACCGGGGAGGCTCCGCTCCCTGTCGCCACCGGATCTGCATGAGGGGGGGCCGCCATGGCCAGTCAGGGAGGTGAGGTGAGAAGGATGCGCCGAGATCCACCACCACATACCGTCAAGGAAGGGGATGGCAGAGCTGCCGCGAGCTGCTCTTCTATGCGCCGTCGTCGAAGCTTCCTCACCGGATGCAGGGGAGATAGCTGCCGGACACTGTCGCCACGCTGCTGGCTGGCCGGAGGGGCCGCGCCGCCTCCGCCATGCCACGGGCTGGCCGGAGCATCAGCCCCGCCTCTGCGACCGCGCCACGGCCTGGCTCCTCCGGGTGAGGTCGCCCCGCCAAAGGGCACGCGCAGCTAGTGTTGGGCGCCGCCAACCACAACATCCTCTGCTCCATCATCCTCTCCTCCTCCTTCCATCAATCTAGGGTTTGGTGTGTTTTTTTTCGGGGAAGAAGGTCACGGACTTACGGGAGACAGGAGCGCTTGGCCGCTCGGGAAGTCCAGTGAGAAATTGGATGCGTGAGTAATAGAGGATATATTAGTCACACTAAGAAAAAACTGACACGGTCAAAATAGTCAACTAACAGATGAATGGATGAAATAGACGGTAGTGCCATATAGGGAAGAAAATTTTAACTTGGTGCCAGATAAGAAAGTTCAAAATTTTAAATGTCAAATACAAAAGACTGATTTGTTTCAGTGCCAAATACAAAATTCTCTCTTCCTATTTTCATAGTATATATATATATAAAATAAGTATTATTAGATTAATTATTAAATTATTTATGAATATATTTTCATAATAAACTGATTAGAAGATATAAATGTGAATACGTACTATTTACTCCAAGTTAATCAAACTTTAACTACTTTAACGGATACAAATAACATCGTTGCATTCTTTGGATGGAGCAATACTTTCAACGTACCTTTCCAGATTCCAATGTTTGTTAGTGCGGAGTACTGCGGATAGCCCCGTATAGGTAGAAAAAAAAATTAGACGTGTGTCAAGAAGAATGTCACATGCATGCAGAATTTTCAACAAGAGACTGCAAAGTCGGGTCAAAGCTGGTGGCGGCCTGGCTGTGTGGATGTGGCTAAGGCTGTTCGCTCGAACTTATCAGCCGACTTATCAGTTAGAATCTATAGTATTTTTCTCTCACAATAAAATAACTTTAGCCGAGTTATCAGCCAGTTTTAATATCAGCCGAACAGATCGTCCAGACACCATACTCCAGAGGAGGTAAAGGTAGTCTCGTGGAGTACCCGTACGACACCATACTGAAAGTGGAAGAAGACTCTCCGGTCGACATCAAAAGCACTTACTAACGACGATGCTGGAATTCCACAGCAGGCCAGTTATAATATATGGCCGCGGACGTACGCCATCGTCGCAGCTAGCGACCGGTGCAGATGTGGACGGGTGTAGTACGTCGCTGCCTCGCTTCCCGTTGCCCATCCGACGCACGCCGTTCGTGGAGGCTCGTGGAGATCCACCGAGCCGCCGCGCGCATTTCTAGCTAGGTCAGCGTTCCAACAGCGCATGGACGTACAGCCACATGGGTAAGCAGTAAGTAAGCCAGGGCACACATTTCGCATGAAAACTCTCAAGTTGTTACTGCCTCCGTTTAGCCCTTGTTTAGTTCGCAAAATTTGGATTTTGGGGCTACTGTAGCACCTTCGTTTTTATTTGGCAAATAGTGTCCAAACATTGACTAATTAGGCTTAAAACGTTCGTCTCGCAATTTCCCACCAAACTGTGTAATTAGTTTTTCTTTTCGTCTACATTTAATACTCCATGCACGGACCGCAAACATTCGATGTGACAGGTACTGTAGCAACTTTTTGGAAGTTGGGCACCAACTAAACACGGCGTTAGTTCCTAAAGGTACGAGATGTTCCAGAATTCGTGTCAGCAGTCAGCAGTTAGTCAACAGTTTTTTAAAAAAATAAAAAAATGGTGAATTGTGCGTGCTACTACATACATAGATGAACTGCATGATGCGTGTTCCCTATACGTTTGTCAAACGATGCTAGCGTTTGTCAAACGATGCTAGACCGGCTGGTCAAGCAGTCCGCTTGGCACCTTGCGGCCTGATGAGTTCGATCCCCCACGGGGTGAATTTGCAGCGCCGGAGGTGAAAAAATAACCCTCGCCTGCTCCGCATTCCCAGAGCACAGGTTTGTAGGCACGTCCCACTCATA